AGAAGAATATATTTATTTCCCTTGTTATGCCTGGAGAGAGCCTGCATATCTGCCAAGTCTACTTGCACATCTGTCATAAAACCTGCCGCTATAGTTTTTGATCTTTTAAAATTAACCCTTTTAGGACGCATAAGCGTATAAGTCCTATGCCCCTCCAAATAATTCTGAACAATATTTCTAGGTAAATTTTTGATAACTTTTCTTGCTTCATACCAAAGTCGATCAACTCCTGAAAAAGCTGCAGGCGAATCTGCATCATTATAAAGGTGGTTCAAAAGTTTTGTAGGATCCGCCATTTTTTATTAAAATTCTTTACCAAAGAGTAGGTTTAAATCTTTTTATACCATCTTCTTTACGTTTAGCTTTTATAAGTCTTAACATCCATTCTCTACCGGCTTTTGCTGATTGTATTTTTGTAACAGGTTTCACTCTTTTCAATGCGATTAAAGGACTTTCGTCTGGACCATCCCATTTTCTTTTTAATTTTTGACGTCTTTGGATATCATCATCTCTACGAGCTTTAGATAACGCTGATTGGTCAATAGGAAACTTTTGTTCTCTAATATTAAATTTTCTTTGTAAGTACTCTCGCCTTTTTTTCTCACGATCCAACATAGCTTCTTTATTTGTATCATATCCTTTTTTCCATCTCTTTGTATCCTCAAACTCTTCTGTCTTTCCCCTTTTTATAATTTGTCTAGGAGGAAGATGGTCAGATACAAGGGGAGCATCAATACCTTCAGGAATATTAGGGAGAATTGGGTTGGGAGGAGATGGAGGAAAATCATCATCAACAGGAGGATTTGTGTTATATTCAGGAGTATAAGGAATTTTCCAATTTTTCAATAACTTTTTCCTTTCTAATTTTTGCAATTTATTTCTAGCCTTTTCAGAAACTTTCAAATACTCATTTCGAGCCTCATTTTTATAATTAATCAAATTTTGTCTTTTATTTTGTCCATAATCGTCCCCCTCAAGTTTTCTCTTTATTTTTTGTCTAGGGTTAGGAGGAGTAGGGGAAATTCCAGCCCTTAATAAATTTTGTCGTCGCCTTTCGGGGGTTCTTTGTTCGATTGAAGAATTTGACAAAGGGGGAACAATATTATATGATAAGGCCGGCGGCTCTTGTGGATAGGCAGAATACGAAAGATCATCGCTCATCCATAAATCATCATTATCGTCTGTAATATTTGTTGCAGGTCTGTTAACATCACTATTCATAATTGCTCCTTTGGGGTTAGCTACCATTTCGACTCTGACAGGTCTATTTTCACTCTCATTCCTTAATTTCAGGTAGCGTCTTAGTTCTTGGTTGTAATGAATATTTTTGGCGGAGAGGTTTTCTTTTTTAATTTTAGCCTTCTCAACCGCTCTCTTTGTGAAATCTAAATTTGGATCCCCATAATTATTTGAAGTAAGTCCTCTATAAATCTCTTCTGGAACTAGAATTAATTTCTTTGCCATTATTTTTAAATTTATGGTTGATTTGAATTATTTTGATAGGCTTTTATACTAATTGTTCGAGCTAGCTCCATTAAAACAGGAGTGAGAAGAGCAGCAAATACTCCTACTCCTCCACCTTTTTGCCTTAAAACTTTTCTTACTCCCCGCTCACTCCTAGCACGGCTTATTTGACGAATAAAATCTACATGAGGTATCAAACGTTTCTTTTGACGAGTATTAAGGTTAAAACGAGATTTTACAATATTTAAACAAATTTCAACAATTGATAACAATTGATTAGTATCTGCTTTTCGTAAAATTTTTCTGCTTCTACTTTCAGATTTTGTATGCGCTAAAGAGCGTAAAAATTCTTTATTCTCGCTAATTAATTGACTAAACATTTTTGGAAATGAAAATTATCTTCTCTTCATCGCCTTTAAATACGTTTGTCCGGAGTCTTAGAGCTGGGTCTGAGGATGCATGCAAATCGATGAGCAAATATCCGTAAGGTTCATCTGTTGCCTGTTTGTATGCATCGAGGAAATAGTCTAACTGACGAGGAAATAACTGTACACCAATATTTCTCACGGAGAGTGCAGAATTCGGAGACCTCATTAAAACAACATATTGGGCATTTTGTCGCGCAACCTTAATCTTCTTTTCAAATAGGTTTTGTGTAACAAAAACAATTGCAAAATTTTGATGATGCGACTTTTTTGTAAATAGCTCCGAAAGATATTTTTCATCTATAGATAGGAGCAAATCATCAAGAATTAACAATAATGGTTTTGGGTATTTTTTTATCAAGTCCTCAGGAGGAACTCCAGCATAAACATTAACTCCTGATTTTTGAAGGATCGGGATATTATCGTTCATCTCTCCAAAACAATACAGTATACTTTTTGGCTTGGGTTCGATCAAATCTTGGGAGTCCGCAATAAATTTTAATAAGAATGAACTTTTTCCACTTGAGCTTGGCCCAGACAAAATCATACCAAAAGGTAGTTTAAAATTTAAGTCTTTATTAATAAATGATTGTAATTCCATAATTATAATATTTACGAAAAAAAACAAATTAGAGGGTAAACACTAATGCTTATATAGAAACATTTGTTTCATCTATTTTCTCTTCTTTCTGAACCTTCTCTTCCAGCTTCTTCGGAGATGAAGATAATCCAGTTGTAGCTGCCATTAAACTATCATAAAATTCTTGGAGCTCCTTCTCAAACGGAACTTCATCTGGAGGTGTAGTAGGTCGAGGAGTATCAACTCGAGGAGGAGAATGTAAAGGAGGAGTAGGGGAGCTATGAGGAGGAGAAGACAAATTATTAGTTGGAGCAGTTGGAGTAAGAGTAGGCAGCTCATCAATTTTCCTTTTCCCTCTCTTGGGATTTTGATGGATTATCTGTTGCGCTTGTACTCCATGAGGAACATTGAACACTCTCCCTTTGTTCCTGACTTTGAAAAAGCAATGTGTGGGCAACTCATAAACTGTATCGAATGGGACAAATCGGGTACCTGAGCCAATTCGTGTACAGTAGATGGTAACCCCTTCCTTAGTCACAATAAAATCAATTTCCACCTCTGTGCTCTTGCACTCCTTACATCTCCCTGACTGGTCGTAAGGAATAAACCTAGGAGTAGTAAGTCGAGAACTTAAAACGGTTATTCCACTCGAGGAGATATTAAAATCTACTTCTGGGAGGATTTGGGAAAACAAATTTTGATTCATTTTGAAATAATGATACAAAAATCCAAAATCGCCACCCTTTTATACTCGGATTTTCAGTGGATTACAACATTATTAAAACTGACACGCCTCTAAAAACACAAACGCATACTCGAAACACGCGCACATCCCCAAAACACTCGCGCATGCCTAAAATACGTGGATTTAAAAAAATATAAAATTTGCACTTTCTTTTGTTTAAATATGCACTTTTACCCCCAAAATTAACTACTTCAAACTCCAAACTATGCTTTTTACAACTTGTAATGCTTAATTATGCACTTTTCTCCCTAAAATCATCAACTTCTAAAGGTTAATTATGCTCATTGTATCTTCTAACACTTAAATATGCACTTTTCTCCCTAAAATCTACCACTTTAAAACATTAATATTGCACATGTTTTTTTATAAAAACGATAAAAATTATTGCAAATAATAAACACGAACACTGTTTGGCTAATTACAAAGAACAATTTGATTATTCGATGAGGTAATAGATCACTTGTTGAATGGTTCTATAAGATTGTAACAAGATAAATGACACTTCAAATTTAGAAAATACTTTTTCTCCACTGTGTACTTACCCTTCAACACCACAACTCTACCGATATGTCCTCATCCTTTTGATTTTGTCAGACCCCTCTACTCCATGATGGTGATTGTTCACCCGCAAAGGAAAGGAGAGGAGAGGATAAAAGGAGAAGAGAAGATGATACGAGAGGAGATGAGTGAGTAGGAAGAAAATGGAGATTAAAGGAGTAGGAGAAAAAGAACGAGGAGAGGAGTAGGATATGGAGAGGAGGAAGGAAATAGTATCATGGAGGAAGAACTGAGAGGAGAAGATGAGATCAGAGAAGATGGGAGGAGTAGGAGGGAGGAGGAGGAGGAAAAAATAGAGAAGATGAAATTGGGAGGAGAAAGAAGGAGAATGAGGAGAGGAGGAGTAGTATCAGAGAGGAGAAGATGAGAGGAGTAGGATAGAGGAGGAAAGGAGAAGTCGAGATCAGATAAGATATGAGGAGTATGAGGGAGGAGGAGGAGGAGGAGGAGGAAGAAGAAAATATCGGAGAAGATAAAATGGGGAGGAGAAAGAATAAGGAGAGGAGGAGTAGTATCAGAGAGGAGGGATGAGAGGGGTAGGATATGGAGAGGAAAAGCTGGTTATCACCGACCTGTCAAAGTGATTTGACTTCAAGTCAAAACAAATGAAAAGGATTTGTCTTAAAAGTCAAAAAGTCGGCCACGACGACGACGTAAAAGGTCAGCTTTGACCACCCGCTCAAAAGGTTTTGATCTTAGGTCAAAAGGATTTGACTTTCTTATTGCCACCCGCGACAGTGATTTATACAATTATCCTCCCTCACATCCACTTTCAAAAGGTTTCTCATCCTTTAGATTTTCCCCTCTAATAGGTCAACATACTCTCTCCTTTTGTCTGACCACCCCCCAAATATTGGCATTCTCTTTTCTTTTCCCCTCCTCCCCCACGACGCTGCCGAAATGTCCACTCCCTTTAGGTTTATGTGACCTCAACTCCTCCACGACGCTGCCGACATGCCCTCTCCCTTTAGGTTTTTTGCCGCACTATTCCCGACATGTCCTCTCCCTTTTGGTTTTACCAGACCCCGCCACCCCCACGACAGTGAGATCAAAAGGATTAGGTTAGTGACAGCCACGACACCCCCGCACCTATGACTACTTTCTATAAAATTAGTTTTTTTCTTTAAAATAAAATTAATTATTCCCATTTTATAATATGTATTATTCCCAATTGATATTCCCATTTATTTAAAAAAACGTTAATTAATTATGTTACGACTTAATAGTTTCAGTTTTCATCACACAATGTTATGTCCTTATTATTGAAAAGTTCTTGTTCATATTCAAAACCATTACATTCTTCATTTAAAAAATCCACTATTGCTTTAATGTTTGGACGTCTATCAGCTTCTAATTGTAAACAACCCTTTAAATTTTAATTAACAAATACAAATTTCTATTTAAATACCTTTATAATTCTATCCAAAAACGAATTAGTTTCAGCATCTGAAAGATATTCTCTCAGTTCATTGTCAAGTTCACTATAATCTCCCAGCGATATTCGCACTAAATTAATTAGTTCTCTATCATTTGGTTGTTCTTCATCACCTTTCTTTTTTAACAATCCGTAGATCATTAAACCGAAAGCCCAAATATCAACTTTTCTATTAACCTATAAATTTATTTAATTTAAAAAAATAATTATTAAAATTTAAGGGAAATGCTAACTTTATAAGAATATTTTTAATACCTTAAATCCTTCAGGATTTTCACCTCGAATTTCTGGTGCCCTAAATTTCTTTAATCCATGTACTTTAGTACTGATCTCAGCATTTGGTGTAATAACAGATGTATTAAAATCTATTAGTTTTAATTTAATTTCTTTCTTTAAATTATTTTGCTGAAGCGAGACGATAAAATTACCGTATTTCCTGAAATAGTACTCCCCCCTGAATTAGCACTCCCCCCTTAAATAGTACTCCCCTTTAGAGGAGGGTTGAAAAATAGTACTCCCCCCTGAATTAGTACTCCCCCTAAAATAGCACTCCCCCCTAAAAATTTTTCTCCTATATTTGAAAAAATAAAAAGAGACTCATTGAATTATTTTATTTATTCTAAGTAGCGTTGTCGGTTTCACTTGATTCTCCGATAAACAAAACCGGAAAGCCTTCGGTTAACCGAAAACGAACTGAAATTTTAACCTAAAATTTTTCGGAGATTAAAGAAATACAATCCGGTTAATTGGTGGGGTAAAAGTGGATTTTGGGGGATATAAAGGGATTGATATCTGATGATAAAATGGGTTCTGGATTGATCAAGTAGGATTTAAAAGATATCATTGGATTAAGGTTTGATGAAGGGATTTGAGGGGAATACACACAAGATTAGTTAACCCTATGAGATTAGTTAATAGAGGGATACACACGAGACTAGTTAACCCCCTGATAAATTCCTAGACAGAGATATTTCCACTATATCCCAAAAAATTAATTGATAATCATTTTATTAATATCATTTTATTATTATTGATAATCATTTTATTATCATTTTAATATCAACTTTATCCCCTCAAATCTCACGATATCGCTTTTAATCAAAAATTACCTGGCATCCCTACTAATCCGCTAAAACGTCAATATCCTTCTCAATCCTGATAATTTTTTCGACATCCAACTTAATCTATCGATATCTCTTAATCGCTTAAAATCCCATTATACCCCTGGATATCACTCCAAATCCACTAATATCCTTTTTGCTTTCCCTCAATAACCCTATTTTAAGTCACTTGTGTTTAAAAGTCTCGCAAGTTGCTCAATTTTATACTAATTTGGAATCCACATTTCTTGAAAATCCAAATTTGGATCCGGCATTTTTCAAATTACGAACTCTAATTGATTTAAACATTTAAAATTTTGAGACAAATTTTCCTAAGATAAATCATGGAGGTAGGTTGAAAAATAATACTCCCCCCTGAATTAGTACTCCCCCCTTAAATAGTACTCCCCTTTGGAGGAGGGTTGAAAAATAGTACTCCCGGGAGTACTATTTTAGGAAATACGGTATTTGCTTTAATATCCAAATGAATTCCATCTAAATTTAATATTTAAAAAGTTGGTTATTAAATTAATAAAATTATTCAGCTTTTCCCTATTAAGGGAAAAGCTGTATTTTAATGACAGCCACTCTATTTATTTCTTAATTTGAACATGTTTTGCAATGTTTGCTACAAGTTACATAAGGGCTCATCTTTCTAAAAAATTTATCATTGTCGGCATTCAAGCTCAAATAACTAGCATACCAAAAATAGCCTAAAAATGCACTATTATCGGTAAGAGGTTATTCTAGCTTGAGTATTTACCGGATAATTTTTTTAGAAAATTATGTTATTTTGTATCTTGTAGCAAATTTTATGGGCTTTCAGATAGGCCTAAAGTAAATTTTTAATATATGCTGTAAATGGGATAAAATATTTTTTAAAGTACTGTAACCCTATTTTCCGTTGATTTTCGAGATTTGAGATCTCGATGATGGAAGCAGTTTTCGACTTATTTTTTTTTTCTATTTTGTAGCTTATTGATAGTTATGTTTATCGAAATTTTTGTTAAATTTTAGAAAATTTTTTTCCGTAATTATCGGTATTTTTACAAACTTTGAGGATATTTGGAACGCCTGATTTTTTGAAAATTTATCATAACTTTTGATAAAATTATCAGTTTGCAGAATTTTGTAAAATAGGGTAGTTTTTGCTGCTGAATCAGTATATAAAAAGATTATAAAAAAGTAGACAACCGTAAGTCGATTTATCTGAAAAATTGGGGGGTGTCGAGGTTTTTTGGAACGGAGTTTAGTGCCAGTCTATTAGAGGGTGTCATTGAATATATTGTATTAATTTTGTGAAAAATAAAGTAAAGCAGCCGGGATATTTCTCTCCTTTAGCTAGTGCAAAAGGTTAATCAGCGGCTGGGAGCGAACCAGCATCTTCAGTAGACCGGACTGATGTACACTACGCCGCCTACTGCACAGCCTTAGGAATTAAATAGCCATATGCTTTACAATAAAAATACTAACGTCTGTGAAATTGTTTGATTGATAGAGCAGCCCCTCTAGCAATTTTTATTAAAAGCTCCTCTTTATTAACATCGCGTTTCTTAGTTTCTTCTTCAAAATATGAATTCAAATCTTTTCCCCCAAGTTCCAAAGCAAAATACATAAAATAAGTTCGGCTTTCTTGACCGTTTAAAGTTGTGGTCTTAGCAATAAGTTTGCTTAAAAATTAATTTTTTCAATTAAATATTTATAAAAATATCAACCTTCCAATCATATCAATAATCCTATCCCTATCATTTATTGGTATACCCGCAAGATGTTTTAACACATTAAACTCTCTTTTTATAAATCTTTTTCTTTCAGGAGTATCATAACGAGAAACTTTTAATGCCACACATTTATTTCCATTTTTCCAATATGCATGGTAAACATTGTTGTCTCGGAACTAAAATAATTATCTTAATTCGATAAGAAAAAATACAAATAAATAGTTTAATATTATACGCGACACTTGCGTTTCTAACTTGCCCCCAATCGCTTCTCAATAGAACACAAATAACGTAGATAATTTGCCGAAATTATCCCACAAAAAGGAGTTAACCGATTTTATACCTCGCTTTGACTATCTCCAAGTTTATGTTCAAAATTTAAAATTAATTTAATTGATTCTTGTCCGTTAGCAGAATTTTGATTTAAAGGACTTAAAGTTTTATTTTCGTTTAAACTATTTATTTTATATTTGCCACAACAACATCTACTATTAAAAAGCGACATAAAAGTAAAACAATTTGAGTAAAGTCCTTTAGCTTAAATAAGAATAATATTTAAGAAATCTACATAAAAAAGAAAATTAATTATTGTAATGAATAGGAATTTTTGGGGAAAGCTATTTTTCTCAGCTATTCCCCATAAATATATTTCATAATAATTTTATTATTTTTGTTTTAATTAAGAAATTTAATAAAACTAGAATGGACAAATAAAGGAAAATATGGAATTAGTGTTTCACCTAAAGTTTCAGTTCCTATTGGCCTGAAATTTCTTTTTATCTTTCCCTTGTCTCAGCTAAACGGAACTTTTCTACACCAAAAAGATTGTTTTTATGAATAATCCTTGTTTGCAAAAGAAGGATTTCTGCTGTGTTTTGAGTTAAAAATTAAAAATTTCCCCTTTGTGAGTTGCCAATTAAAAATATTTCCTAATGTTGCATCAGAAAAATTAGTTTACATAACTTGGTTTTCTCAATTTTGAATTTTTCAATCCCGGTGAAACACTATTAGGTATTGATAATAATTATTGATAATCACCTTTTAGATTTATTTGTGACAAAATAAATATTTTAACAATTAATAATTTCAGTAGTTTCATTTTAATTTAGTTTTTAAATAAAAGGAAAAAAATTTTTTATAAAGAAATTTTATTTATTTTTTTATTTTTAATTGATTATTTTTATTAAATGGATGTCGGTAAATAAATACCGTATTTCCTGAAATAGTACTCCCCCCTAAATTAGCACTCCCCCCTTAAATAGTACTCCCCTTTGGAGGAGGGTTGAAAAATAGTACTCCCCCCTGAATTAGTACTCCCCCTAAAATAGTACTCCCCCCAAAAATATTTTTCCTCTATACATATTTAAAAAAATAATACGAGACATTGAATTATTTTATTTATTCTAAGTATCGTTGTCGGTTTCACTTGATTCTTTGATAAACAAAACCTGAGAGCTTTCGGTTAACCGAAAACGAATCGAAATTTTAAACTAAAATTTTTCGAGGATTAAAGAGATATAATCCGATTAATTGGTGGAGTAAAAGTGGATTTTGGGTATATAAAGGGATTGATATCGGGTGTAAAATGGGTTCTGTATTAATCAAGTGGCATTTAAAAGACATCATTGGATTAAGGTTTGATATAGGAATTTGAGGGAATAATGAAGGGGGAGTAATATTAGGCGATTTTGGTTGATTAAGAGCGATTAAGCGATAAGTTGAATCATAAATCCTTCTTAATCAACTAATATCGGAAGTACAAAAGGGATGTGGAGGATATCGGTGTTTAATATGATAAATAACTAGACAGAGATTAGGTAATCCCTAGACACATGGGTTTAGTTGACCCTGATAAATCTTAGACCCGAAAATCCCCTTATATCCCTCGATATCACTCCAAATTCACTTATATCCTTTTTGATTTCCCTCAATAACCCGTATTTTAAGTCACTTGTGTTTAATTGTCTCGCAATTTGCTCAATTTTATACTAATTCGGATATTTTCTACAACTTTTATTAAAGAAATTTTTTGAAAATCAGGGTCCGGATCCGGCATTTTTCAAATAGCGAACTCTAATCGAATTTATTTTGAGATAAATTGAAATAAATTAAAATATTTTTTTTAATTTTGAAATAAATTTTCCTATGAAAAATCATGGAGGATGGTTGAAAAATAATACTCCCCCCTGAATTAGCACTCCCCCCTTAAATAGTACTCCCCTTTGGAGGAGGGTTGAAAAATAGTACTCCCGGGAGTACTATTTTAGGAAATACGGTATATTTTTATTTACATAGGTGGATGTGTCTTTTAAGTTTAAGTCTAGCTCGCCTTTATTAATTGGTAAATAAATATTACCCTTTAATTTAGCTATTTAGAAGAATTTCCAATGTTTTTTTTTGTTTTAATTGAAATATTTAAAGCCAAGATTTAGTTGAGTTACGAGACGAGATGGAAGTAAAGGTGTTCAAAAAATATTTTGGATCAAAATTTTTGCTTAATGCTTGCTGAGTTATTTGGAGTTATCTTCTAGAAATTTTATGGCATTTCTACCAGTACTACGAATTTTCGATAATAAATCTAAAACAAAAATAGTGCGGTGTTTTAAGGATTCTCGTGATCTAAGCTTTTATTTATGTCTGATGTATTTGTGAAAGATATAGTAAACAAAATTTGAAAAAATCCCTTTAGCCTCAATTTTATGGCATTTCTACATACTAACTAAAGTTGGACATCACTTACAAATACACCCTAGGGACTGAAGAAAATTTATTAACAAAAATGTTAAAATTAATTTAATTAAAAGTTCATTAGTGATACTAAAATAACAGTTTGTCGACAAATGTTTGTGTGCTGTCGGAATTTCTGCAATAGCTACAAAATTAGAAAATAATATTTGTAAATTTAAATTAAAAAATTTTTTTTAATTTTATTAAAATTAAAAAAAAATTTTAATCGATTAGAGGGAATACATTGCGTGAATTAATTTACAGCTAGAGATTTAAAAAATTGAAAAGACTGTTTAATTAAAAGAGAGAGCGTTTTAAATTCTTATTCATGGCAATATATAGAGGTATTGGATAATCACTTACTTGATTTTTTTAAAGAATTTTATTTAAATTTTTAAATTTTTATTTAATAAACATAATTTAACAATATAAAAAAATATTTATAAAACTCTAATAATTTTTGACAAACTTTTCAGAATTTGTTTTTTAGGAAATTTAATTATTGAAAATTTAATTTGAAATTATCTAAACAATGCAAATTTTTGTGTTTATCAAAATAATTTCAATATCAATTATTATTTTTCTGCATTTTCCAAGTGTTTTTTTAAATTGAACATAAAAATAAATAAAAAATTAGCGGACATTTTACCAGTTTTAAATCTACAATTACCGTTAATTCTCTAATAGAAGCACACCCTCCAATAAAAGAACACCCTACGGGAGGATCGAAAAGTACAACACATGTGCTTCTATTAGAGAATTTACGGTAATACATATATACTTTCGAATAATTTTAGACGATTAATTTAATTTTTTGAATAAATAATTAAACAATTAAATTTTCATTTGGTTATTAAGTTTTATTTTTAATTAAGACTTGCATGCTGGATGTTTTCATAGCCGTCCTAATGTGGAAGGCGAATCTGGTTAGTTAATTTGAATATATTTTACGGGAAAAATTTATTTTAATTAAAACATTTACTTTTAAGCAATACCTTCACCTTCCCACAACATTATTCATCAAAGTCGTCCTTCACCACCCCCATCACATCCTCAAGAAAATGTAACGGGTGAGTTTAAATTTATTTTTAATATTCAAATAATTATTTTAAAACTAATTTTTTCTAATTATTGTCGTTATAATTTATTAATGGGTTAATCTTAAGTGACAATTGCAGCTTTAATTGGTGTTTATTCCTTTAAAATGTTTAAAAATTCCGTAGATTATTAAATTTATCCAATAAGATTATTACTCAAAAATGGGCTGATTTTAATTTTAAACTAATTCTCTAAATAATAAAATTTAAAGCCGTAGCCAGCTCCTCATCCAGCCAACATGTATTTGATGAAAATAGATGTAAATGCCAAAGACATATGAAAAATCGAATGTTTGTTAAAGAAAAATATGACGGAATTGAATTGAAATTTATACGAGATGATGATATAGGATCTGGTGGATATGGCCGTGTATGATTAAATAAATTAACTAATATTTATTAAAAAATTATTTTTAACTAATAAAGAATATAATCTAAAAATTATATTTTTATTAGAAAATATATTTATTCAGAGATTTTAACATGAGTTAGAGCTGACAGAACGATCAAATAATTTGAAAAAGATAAAAATATAAACGTAACCCAACTCTTAATGGGATTTTAAATGAATGTATAAGCTTAAGTCTAAAAAGATTTGTTTAAAAATCTGAAAATATTATTCTACATCTTTTACTTACCTAAGCAGAAATAATTATTTTTAAAGATTTTACATGCTTATTGGGAACGTGAAAATGAAGCTGAATGTGTTGCATTAAAAGATATACTAATGTATAGTGATGAAAGAATAAAGTTTGCACTAAATGAAGTTAATGTCCTTAACGAAGTTATGGAATTTCCAGATGAGCAAAGAGATCATATAATAACAATGCACGGAAGGTATGTTGTTTTTTGTATAAAAAACTTTAAAAAACCGACCACTGTCACCAAATTTTTTTATTTTCTCCGTCAATTAATATTCTTCTATTAAGTGAGGAAAAAACAATAGGAGGTAATAGACATATGTATATAATATTGGAACTTGGTGGAATTGATTTGGAAGTATATTATAATAAAATGCGTAGAAACAAAGATTTAGTACTTTTAAATATTCTTAAATGTGCAGCAAGAGGATTACAACAATTCCATGAAAGTCGGATTATTTATTAATATTATTAACATTTTATTTAAAAATAATTTTATTTTTTTACAAAAAATAATGTATGTACACATATAAAATTTTAATAAATTTAATGAAAATAATTTTTTAAATTTTCCTTTCAGTCGGAATTCATCTGGACATTAAAGCTAAAAATTTTGTTATTCCTTTGGATCAAGATTTAAATTCTCCTTTAAAATCTTGCAAACTGATTGATTTTAGTTTTTCTATTATAACACAACAAGAACCAGTTGAAATAGAATTATATGGAACGAATAAATACGCACCGCCAGAATTTATTAATACAAAATTGGTAAATTTTCTTTTAGTTATTCGAAATTGAAGAAAATTATTTAAAATTATTTACATTTTCTAAATTTACTTCGGCTATTCAAATTTGAGAATATGATCGTATTTTAATTAGAGCTATTAATTTATATGGTTCAGTTTGGTTAGTCACTGATTAGGGAAAGATGCCTAGTCGACGATACCTCCCTTTTAGTTTACATTTTATTTTATTGTAAATTAATATTTTGATTTATATAATCTTTCAAATGATCTTTAAATATATTTTTAGGCAACCCGAAAAAACGATATTTTTGCATTTGGAGTAATGACCTACAAATTTTTAAAGGCTCCCAATGCCGATAATTTTAGTGTAAACAAACGATTGCTTGGAAATAGCCGTCTAGATCGCGTTGCTAAGGCAAGTTTTACTTACATATTTCATATGCTGAAATTTTATTTCAACATTCTACATATTTATTAAAATGCAAAGCCGGAAAAAAATAATTACAATATTTCTTAAAATAAGGCCTATCTAACTGACCGATTAATATTCGATTTTTGGATTATTGAAGGGGAGATGATGTTGATTGAAATTTTAATCGGTTGGTGAATGACAAAATAAAGTCGGGCATTATTATAAACATTAAATAAACTTTATACATAAATTTTATTAAAATTTTTTTATTAAATTTAGGTTTGCATGGAAAAAGAAGCCGATAATCGTCCAAGTATTAAGGCTCTAAATGATTTTCTAAATGGAAATTGCGACCGCTTTATTTCTGAGCAAAATGAATATGGTAAATTGTGCGAGAATTAAACAGTTTAAACAATCTAAAAGATTTATCAGAAGTTTTTTGTTTTGATCTTTTTTTACTAAAATTTCTTTTCGGATTAAGTTGAGCATAATTTTGTGGTTTATATAGGTATAGAAGGGGTGGGGTGGGTGGGGTATTTTATACGTGTTCATGCTGTGGAAAAATTCATTGGTTGGGAGACGGAATAGAACCATCATGGAAGAGGCCCAAACCGAAGCACAACCGACTGTGCCACAACCCAACCCTATGATAGAGATCGGACCAAACAAATATCTGACGTTAGAAAATCAAATATTTGATCAAATATTTGTTTGATGAGTTTCGAAAAAATCAAAATTTTTTCAAATACTTTCAAATATCAAATAGTTTGATTTGATATTTGATTTTTCCGTTTGTCCGATCCTTACCCTATGATCTTATTTATTATCATTTATGTATATTCTTTCAGCATGTGCGGACACAACTGGGGAAGGGGGAATTTTCATTTTTACTATTCTTATTATAATTTCAAAAAAGTTTAATATTTTTCGATTCATTTATCCTTGCATAAAATGAAATTTACAATTCTTGTGTTTTTAAATAAAGCAAAAAATTCTGTGAATTGATTACATATTGTAATTATGTAATTATGCGGAGCAGTTCAACTGAGTCCGCACGATTGAGTCCTCACGATTGAGTCCGCACGATTGAGTCCCCACGATTGAGTCCCGGCACGATTGAGTCCCCACGATTGAGTCCGCACGATTGAGTCCCCCTTGTATATACCTCAATTGAGTCCCCGTGGATTTAGTTTTAAAAATTTCATTTTTTAATTTAAATTATTCCAAATAAGGTTGGCCCCCGTCGGCGGGGGGTTTTCACGGGGGAGGGGAAGGGGACGGGAATAAAATTTTTTTCACGTGGGGAGAGGGCGGGGACTGAGAAAATTTTTTTTCACGGAGTAGGTGACGGGAACGGGGAAAATTTTTTTCACGGGGTAGGTGACGGGAACGGGGAAAATTTTTTCTTTTTTCACGGGGGGCGGGGACGGGGAAATTTTTTTCTTTTTTCACGGGGGCGGGGACGGGGAAATTTTTTTCTTTTTTCACGGGGAGGGGAACTTTTTGTGGGAATTTGCATGCAATCTAATTTACTGACGACATAACCCTCTTACTCCCTCTCAATCTCTCGATTTCTACCTTAATCCACCGATATCCCTTTTAATCCCTGTATATCCCTCCAAATCCACCGATATCCCTCGTAAGAGGGATATCTTATCCCTCGTGCCACGCACAAGTCCCTTGATGTCTACTTAATCCCTCCAAATCCCCCGATATCCCTCTTAATCCTTTTTAATATAATTAAATCCATGGGGACTCAATTGAGGTATATATGTACAAGGGGGACTCAATCAATCGTGCCGGGACTCAATCGTGGGGACTCAATCGTGAGGACTCAATCGTGCGGACTCAATTGAGGTGTACCGGTAATTATTTAATCAAAAATAATTATTACATTATGTAATCAATTATAATTACGGGACAGGCAGATATTTTGCTTTCCACCTATGTACATAACGCAAAAATCATTTATCATGTTTTTGTTTCAATCTCCTCATTTTTTGCTAGGATTTCTATTTGATATTTTTATAAAACAATTTATAATTAGTTCTATTTAAATATCATTTGTTGTGTTTATTGTGCTTCCCCCAATCACAGCGTGTCCGGAAATTTGGGAAGTGGACACTTGGGGAGTGGACATTTGGGGAGTGGATAAATGGGGAGTGAGTGGACATTTGGGGAGTGGACATTTGGGGAGTAGCCTAACGATAAATATACAATAGAATATTAAATAGTTTTTCTTGCTTTTGTATTTAAAAAAAATTAGGAATCTCTCGAATGAGCTATTATATGCTTTTTCGAATTTTTGACTCTAAGATCTCACCGTTGGTATTTGACCATTTCGAGCCCTATTCTCGACTCAAACTTGTTCAATCAAGCTAATTTTAGTGTCATTCGACTCAGCTCGAGAGCACTTTCGAATGAGCTGTTACTTGCGTATTGTAATTTTTCATCCCAAAATCGAGCGACTCCCCCCTATGGTTTTTCAATTTTTAACCTATAACTCGGTCCAGAATCATTTCCTGAAATTGGGACTTGGATTTTTTTTTCGAAAATTGGAGTTGACTTAGCTCGCCGAGACGAATCGAATGACATATGTCACGTCCCAAACTTTTACCTCCGGTAAAATTATATCCATTTTTTTAAATACAAAAGCAAGAAAAACTATTTAATATTCTATTGTATTTTTATCGTTAGGCTACTCCCCAAATGTCCACTCACTCCCCATTTATCTACTCCCCAAATGTCCACTCCCCAAGTGTCCACTCCCCAAATCTCCGGGAGCCAATCACAGACACATTTGCTATTTATTGCTATTCATTATCTAACTATGTAAAATTATTCCTGAACTATAACTACATACAAATCTCGAGAATATAGAAATGTTTTAATTTTTCTGAAGAAACCGTATTTTTATAAGCTGAAAAATTTACAACTATTCACCTATTTTTATACATATATGAATAGTTGTAAAAGACTTCAAAATTTAATTCTGTATTTGTCCAGTTTTGAATTAATTTCAATTGCTTTTTCACTTTAAAAAACTACTAGTTTTAAAATACAAATTTAACCCATCAAATAAAAAAGATTTTTATAAAAATTTAAAGAAACAAGATGGAAATTTAAAGATACTATCTCATAGAAATACATATGTATGTTGTCTAAATAAATGTTTTTACTTAATACACTCTGTAACAAAATGATAGCGCTCAAATTTTGGTAGAATATATGTAAGGATATTATGTATCAATAATGAAAAGAAAAGTTTAATGCAATTTTCAAAAAAATTTTCTACTAATAAATTTGATTTTAGAGTGTAAAAAAAGATGGCACATCTTAAATTTTCGAGATTAGGGGTGGTCTGAAAAAACTACAAAAATCCCTGTAAACATATCTATTGAACTATAGAAAATACAAAAGAAAAAAGTTCCGATATAATTACTTCATTGAGATCTGAAAACACGTATATCGAAAAATTGTATTAAACTTTTTCTTCTCCTTATTGATAGACCTATATTTTACCAAAACCTATATTTTACCAAAATTTGAAACAGATCCATTTAATATTTGGTAGGATATTGATAAAAAATAGGTGGCGGCTATCATTTTGTTACAGAGTGCACTTGTGGGTAGCTAAAAATGATTAGAATAAAAAATAAAAGGTTTATATCAAATAAAATGCGAGGTAAAGTTGTGGGATTTTAAATAAAAATGGAAAAAATTTTATCTGTTAGGCGCAAGATGGTATCGCTGATAGAAACAGCAATTCTCTCTTTTTTAATTTTTCATATCTTTGGACGCAAAAAATTTAAAGCTTCGGGATTTTAATAAAGAGAAAACGATTGTAAATAATTCTTTTCAATGTATGGGAATGTTTTCAAAACTGATTTCCTCTTCTTATACTATATCATCTTCTAATCGTTTTTTACCTTTTTGGTTAAATAACTCAACTATTTCAGACATTTTCGGACGTTCGTTTTCTTCATATTGAATACATTTCTTAAATTACAAATTAATTTTTGATTTTTTGACATTATTAAAGATATTGTGAATTGGATTCGGTCCTTGAACGTAATACTACACTAATTTTTCAATTAAACTAGGCATTACAAGTTGTTAACTTGTACCCCAAAGTTTTAGTGGTACTTATGCACCCCCCCCCCCCCCCCCCCACAGCTGTTTTTTCCTTTATGTATAAAATGGTCAATAGGTTTTCGGTTTTACAGTACGATTTTTGGTTTTATATTTCAGCTAAATAACGGTTCTATTATGCTGGAATTTTTCAGAAATACTTTGGTTTTCGTTTTCTAAATTTTATAAATAAGGTTAATTTTATGCAAGAAATATCGTTGGTTTTTAGACCGGTCGTAAACCTATTATAGACACAATTTAAAAATATTTTAATCTAATATTTACATATAATTTATTTTTAGGTTTAAAATTAATTAGATAAAGGATTAATTTATAATTACTTTTATAACTTGATCTACTAGACTGTTTTTACTCTCATCCTGACGATAATCATTTAATTCCTTGTCAAAATCTTCATATTTAAAAATAGATGCAGAGGGAGTCTCAATAATTTCATTTTTACTTTCTTGGATATTTGGCGAGTTGTGTGAAAATTTAGTAACCAATGATGACGGAGTATTAAAAAAGCTATAAGTTGGAGTTTTTGCACCGACTCGTTTATTTTGTAATTCATATAACATTATACCAAATTGCCATGTATCAATTTTTTCTGACAACTTGAATAAAAATAAATTAAAAGTTTAAAGGCAAATATTTTTAATTCTACCTACTGAGAGCAGAGAATAAATTTATTGAAAAAAATATTAAAAATAAATATGTAAATATAATTACTTTAAAATTATCTCGAATTTCCGGTGGTGTGAATTTCCTCGCCAAGTTAATATTAATGTTTTCTTCTTCCATGTCTTTATTAATGTTTTCTTCTTCCTTGTCTTTTATAAGGAAAGAAGTGTTAAAGTCTATCAGTTTAAATTCAATCTCATCATTATTTTCAGAGTGAACGAGGAAATTTGTTGGTTTAATGTCCAAATGAATTGCATCTAAATTTTAATAAATAAATTAAAATATATTTATCTATAAAATGATAAAGGAAAGGGGTTAAAAGTATTGAAAAATAGGTCCAAAATATTGTTTTTTTTATAAATTATCCACAATATCCAAATTATTATTTGATTTAAAAAATTTATTTACGTTCATTAAATTGACTGAGTGCTTTAGCAGCTCCTTTAGCAATTTTGGTTACAAGAACTTCGTCTTTAATAGTTTGAAGATTCAAAGGATCTCCTTTATTAATTTTCTCATTATAAAATTTCAATAAATCTTCACCACCTAGTTCCAAAATAATATATTTTTCGCTGTATATTTTTTTACTTTGACCGTTATAATATTCCTCGTTAACGGTATCACTGAAAATTATTTTTGTTTTCATTGTTAAATTAAAATTAATTAGGTAAACAATAATTCTTACTGAGCATGCATGCCAATAATAAAGTTTTGTGGAATATTAGGTCTATCAGCAAAATATTCTAGTATTTTCAATTCTCTATTTACACTTAATTTCTCTTCCGTGCTAGTGTATTTTGAAATTTTTAATGCTACACATTTTCCCAAATTTTTTGAAGAAGAAAACGGAGTTCGTTTTTTCAAAAAAGATGTTTTTTCCATATACGCGTGATAAATCTTTTAATTAATAAAATTATTTTATTTAATTTTCTTACTTTGCTATATCTTCCTTCTCCTATTATATTTTCAAAGTCAAAGCTTATTTTGAAGTGTTTCTCTTTATAATTTATAATAATTTGTTTTTTTAAAAATCCATGTCCGCAGTTAAAAGCAGATCTGTCAACAACACGGGATTTTTCTGAATATTAATTATTCAATATTTTTTGGTAAAACAAAAATAAAAAGTTAAATATATAATTAAAAAATCATGTTTGTGTCCCAATTTAATATATACGTCTGAATTCAATTTGGACTCGTATTTTCAAAATATTTTAATATTTAATTTAGTATTATTTATTTTTTTAAATAAGAAAAAGATTTTTTAAATATTTTAGCGATTTTTGTTTACTTTCTGCTCCTTTGTGTTTATGTTGTTCTTCTTTTTGATCAAATAATTCTCCTAATTTTGATTTATGCTCTACAACTTTAGTTTTTTCATTTTTTCCATTTTTATCAGTCGGTTTAAAACATTTAGTAAATTTACCAAAAAAACCTTTAAATGGGACAGCATCTAATTCTTAAATAATTAATTAAACAAAATAATATTTAAACTTAAAAAATTACCTTGAATATTTAACAATCCAAAAATTAATGTTTGAAAAAGTAATAATAGCAATATTTTCATTGCTATTATTTTTAAGTTTCTATATACAAAATAAAAAATATATTATTGAAAATACTAAAACAATCTACCCTATTTACCCAAAGCTTGAGGATATAATTTTTGAATTTATTTAAAAATGTTTTTAGGGTTAAAAAACAAAATTTTAATTTTCTAATGGTAAAATAAATACGATATAGCCAATAATAGGTATATTTTCTATTAGATTTCTTGGAAGTAATTAACTTTACTATCTATTTATTAAACTTTTTATAAATATAATAATTTTAATTTATTCTTTTACTTTATATATGTAATTAATTTATTATTTATATATTATATTTTTAAAAATTTGAATTTTATTATTATTATTATTTATTTTATTTATAATTAATTTAAAAATTTTTAAGTGGGAGCGCTTAATAAAAATTAAATAGGTGTGTATATAGAGAGAGGGAAATGAAGAGGATATAAATTTTTAAATTCAATAAAAAATTTTTTATTGTTTTATTCAATAATCCTCTATATGGGGAGGAGGGAGGGAGTGTGGTATGGGGAAGATGGAGGGTGGGGGGGATATGGGGAGCAGGGAGGGTGGGGGGATATGGGGAGGAGGGAGGGTGGGGGAGGGGAGGGGAGGGGAGGGGAGGGGGGATATGGGGAGCAGGGAGGGTGGGGGGATATGGGGAGGAGGGAGGGTGGGGGAGGGGAGGGGAGGGGAGGGGAGGGGGGATATGGGGAGCAGGGAGGGTGGGGGGATATGGGGAGGGAGTGGGTGGGGGAGGGGGTGATGTGGGGAGAGGGTGAGGGGGTGGATAGGCAATCATTACCCTTAGCAAATATTATAGAGAGGAAGGCAAAATATTCAAACTTATACAACTCAATTGAAACGTGTAGCAACATTAAAATTGACAGAAAATGTTTTTTTTAATTCAAAACAATTTTATAAATTTAAAAATAAAGTTTATTAATTTCTTTTTTAAAATGATTTTTCTTTTTATTTAATAAAATTACAATTCTTCAGATTTCAATCAAATTTTAACATTTTTTACAATTCACAAGCTTCTATTCTTTAATCCAATAATGATTGAAGAATTTGTATAAATTTAAAACTAATTAAAATAATTGTTTCCATAAAACTGGTGCGTATAACTTAGTTAACAGAATTATAAAAGAAATTAAAATACATATAAGAAAAAGGAAAGAGAAAGAAAAAAATATTAAATTTTGTTTTAAATATTTAAAGAAAAATTTTTATTTTTAAAATAATTGTATTTATTTTTTATTTATTTGTCAGTTGAATTTGGAGGTTTAAGAGATAATTCCAAATTTAAATTATTTTTTTTAGAAGTTGAAGAATAATTATTTTCATTTTCTTTCAAATTATTATTTTTATTTTCATAAATTATTTTTCGAGTTTTCTTTGGCCTTTTTTGATAATATTCTTCTGAAATTTTATCAAAACTTGAAGAATTTTTGTAAATTTTATTTAAATAATTTTCTTCAATTATTGGCTGTTTTCGTTTAGAACATCCTTCTATAGATTTTAAACATTCTTTAAATTTAATAATAAAGTTTAAATAAACAAATTTTAAATTAAAAATTAAAGAAGGTGTTTCTAAAAATTTTGCAAGGATTCTTATAAAGAAGGCAAATATAATAGCGATTTTTTGGTTTAATAATGTTGACATATTTCCAGATTTTTACCCAGATTTTAACTTGATTTTTAACTCAAAGATTATAACCAACAGATTTTTAACACAAAAACTAAACAATTTCTACCTTTATCCTTATTTTGATCATATTTTAATTTTTGTTTTTGTTTACGTTCATTTGGCATTAAATTTAAAGTTTCAGTTTCATTTATTATTTTTTCGTCATTTAAATATTTATTTAACAAATTAGAAATATTTTTCAATACAATTTCTAATTTTATTTCGATTATTTATTATATTAAGACGGTGTAATTCTGAAAAATTAATTAATTTATAAAAATAATTAATTATGTAGATATTATATTTTAGAAATTATTATTTAAATTATATATACCTAAAATCATTTTTGTTTGTTTCTCTATCAACGATTTAGTCCATTCATAATCATTATAATTTTCAAAATTTATATTCTCTAAATTAAATTTATTTAAAACTTTATTTTATTTTTAAATTTATTTTTATAAATTTTTAAAATAAAAACCTCCAAAGTTTTCTAGTTGATTATTTAAATTATAACTAGCGATGGGTTTACCACTGGGGTGCCTATTACAATACTGTGGCGGTAAAATACATCGGGGGGTTCTTTAGGTTACGATACTTCTGCCCGTTGGAAAGCCTAACGGCTTTGGGGGCGCGCTTCGCGCGCCGCTAGCGATTTTTTATGCCTGGAACAAAAGATTGCCTTCATTGGGACTCATCCTTCCACTTAGAGTCACTTCGGGCCTTCGGCCCTCGTCTTCACCTCAATTGGACTTATCCTTCCACTTAGAGTCACTTCGGGCCTTCGGCCCTCGTCTACCCCTCGATTGGACTCATCCTTCCACTTAGAAAATATATTTATTAAGAAATTTTAAAATGAGTTAAATCTGACAGAACGATTTAATAATAATTTAAAGGTTAAAATACATACATATAAACGTAATTTGTGTTTTACTTTTCCAAACAATATCGTAGAGGGATTTTGAATGAATGTATAAACTTAGGTCTACAAAGATTTGTTTAAAAATTTGAAAATATTATTCTACATCTTTTAACTACATAGGCAGAAAGAATTATATTTTTTATTTTTTGAAGATTTTACATGCTTATTGGGAACGTGAAAATGAAGCTGAATGTGTTGCATTAAAAGATATACTAATGTTTGGTGATGAAAAAATAAAGTTTGCACTAAATGAAGTTAATGTCCTTAACGAAGTTATGGAATTATCAGATGAGCAAAGAGATCATATTATAACAATGCATGGAAGGTATGTTGTTTTTTGCATACAAAACATTACAAAACCGGCCACCGTCACCAAAATTTTTTATTTTCTCCGTCAATTAATCTGCTTATATTAAGCGAGGAAAAAACAATAGGAGGTAATAGACATATGTATATAATATTGGAACTTGGTGGAATTAATTTGGAAGTATATTATAATAAAATGCGTAGAAACAAAGATTTAGTACTTTTAAATATCCTTAAATGTGCAGCAAGAGGATTACAACAATTCCATGAAAGTCCGACTTTTTATTAACATTATTAACATTCTATTTAAAAATAATTTTATTTTTATAGAAAATAATATAAATATAAAATTTTAATAAATTTAATGAAAATAATTTTTTAATTTTAATTTTTTAGTCGGAATTCATCTGGACATAAAGGCTAAAAATTTTGTTATTCCTTTGGATCAAGATTTAAATTCCCCATTAAAATCTTGCAAACTGATTGATTTTAGTTTTTCTGTTATAACACAACAAGAACCAGTTGAAATGGAATTATATGGAACGAATAAATATGCAGCGCCAGAATTTATTAATACAAAATTGGTAAATTTTCTTTTTACTTAGATATTCGAAATTGGATAAAATTATTCAAATTTATTTACATTTTGCTAAATTTGTTTCGGCTATTCAAATGTGAGATTTAGTAGAATTTTAATTAGAACTATTAATTTATAAGGTTTAGTTTAGTGGATGTTTTTTAAATGTGATTAGCCACTGATTGGGGAAAGATTCCCCAACCACTAATTGGGGGTCTATGATACCTCCCTTTTAGTTTACATTTTATTTTATTAGATTAATCTTTTGCTTTATATAATCTTTTAAATGATCTTTAAATATATTTTTAGGCAACCCGAAAAAACGATATTTTTGCATTTGGAGTAATGACCTACAAATTTTTAAAGGCTCCCAATGCCGATAATTTTAGTGTAAACAAACGATTGCTTGGAAATAGCCGTATAGATCGCGTTGCTAAGGCAAGTTTTACTTATTTCATATGCTGAAATTTTATTTCAACATACTACATATTTATTAAAATGCAAAGCCGGAAAAAAATAATTACAATATTTCTTAAAATAAGGCCTATCTAACTGACCGATTAATATTCGATTTTTGGATTATTGAAGGGGAGATGATGTTGATCGAAATTTTAATCGGTTGGTGATAGACAAAATAAAGTCGTGCACTATTATAAACATTAAATAAACTTTATGCTTAAATTTTATTAAAATTTTTTATTAAATTTTAGGTTTGCATGGAAAAAGAAGCCGATAATCGTCCAAGTGTTAAGGCTCTAAATGATTTTCTAAATGGAAATTGCGACCGCTTTATTTCTGAGCAAAATGAATATGATAAATTGTGCGAGAATTAAACAGTTTAAATAATCTAAAAGATTTATCAAAAGTTTTTTTTGTTTTGATCTTCTTTTTTTTCTAGAATTTCTGTTCGGATTAAGGGTGATTTATATAGGTATAGAATTGGGGGGGGGTATTGCATACGTGTTCATGCTGTGGAAAAATTCATTGGATGGGAGATGAGAATCGGCATGGAAATGGCCTAAACAGAAGCACAACCGACTGTGCCACCATCCAACCCTATAATGGGTTATTTATTATCATTTATATTCTTTCAGCATGTGCGGACACAACAGGTGGAGGGGGGATTTTCATTTCTATTATTCTTATTATAATTTCAAAAAAATTTCATATTCTTTCCATCCCTTTATACTTTGCATAAAATGAGGAATTTACAATTCTTGTGTTTTTAAATAAAGTAAAAAATTCTGTGAATTGATTACATATTAATTACGGGACAGGCTGATTTTTTTTGTTTTTCTCCTAAATAACGCAAAAAACACACATATGTATATAACTATGTAAAATTATTCCTGCATATAACTACAAATCTCGGGAATATAGAAATGTTTTAATTTTTCCGAAGAAACCGTATTTTTATAAGCTGCAAAATTTACAACTATTCACCTATTTTTATAAATTAATAGTTATAAAACACTTCAAAATTTAATTACCGTATTTGCTAAAATAATTATCCAGAGTAATTATTGTTTCAACCTCTCGCTAGAGGGGGTAATTAATAGGGAGAGGGTAATTATTTGAGAGAGAGACATTATTTCAACATTTACGGTATGTGTTTGTCCAGTTTTAAATTAATTTCAAGTGCTTTTTCAGTTTAAAAACTAACAGCTTTAAAATTGAAATTCAACCTATCAAATAAAAAAGATTTTATATAAATTTAAAGATATCTCTTAGAAATACATATGTTGTTTAAATAAATGTTTTTACTTGTACACTCTGTAACAAAATGATAGCGCACCTAGTTTTTATCAATATCCTACCAAATATTAAATGAATCTGTTTCAAATTTTGGTAGAATATAGGCAAGAATATATATCTATCAAAAATGAAAAGAAAAAGTTTAATGCAATTTAAAAAATTTTTTATAATAATAAATTTGATTTTAGAGTGTAACGAAAAGATAACGCCACTTGTATTTTCGACCTTAGGGGTGGTCCGAAAAATCTACAAAAATCCCTGTAAACATATCTATTGATATCTATAGAAAATACAAAAAACGAAGTTCCAATATAATTCCTTCATTGAGATCTGAAGCCCCGAACGTCAACGGAAAACCTGAGTAATGTCTTTAAAAATTATTTTCGACCAGGTATTTTAAATTTTCATTTTATGCTTTTCTGAAAGAAGTAAAATCAAATTTATTATAGAAAATTTTTTTTGAAAATTGTATTAAACTTTTTCTTTTCTTATTGATACATAATATCCTTACCTATATTCTGCCAGATGAAACAGATCCATTTAGTATTTGGTAGGATATTGATAATAGGTGGCGCTATCATTTTGTTACAGAGTGTATTTATGGGTAGGTAGAAATGATTAGAATAAAAAAGAAAAAAGTTTATATCAAATAAAATGCGAGGTAAAGTTGTGGGATTTTAAATAAAAATGGAGAAAATTTTATCTGTTAAGCGCAAGATGTTATCGCTGATAGGGACAGCAATTCTCTCTTTTTAAATTTTTTTATATCTCTGGGACGGAAAAATTAAATACCCCGGGCTAATAAAGAGAAAACGATTGTAAATCATTCTTTTCAATCCAAAAAATAACTGATTTCCTCTCCTTTATCATCTTCTAATTGTTTTTTACCTTTTTGGTTAAATAACTCAACTATTTCAGACATTTTTGAACGGTTGTTTTCTTCATGTTGAATACATTTCTTAAATTACAAATTAATTACAAATTTTTGATTTTTTTTCATTATTAAAAATATTGTGGATATTTATAATTTATTTTTAAATTTAAAATTAATTAGATAAAAGGATTAATTCATAATTACTTTTATAACTCGATCTACAAGACTGTTTTTACTCTTATCCATTCGATAATTGTTTAATTGACTGTCAAAATAATCATAATTAAAAATAGATGCAGAGTAAGTCTCAATAATTTCACTTGTACTTCCTTGGATACTTGGCGATTTGTGTGAAAATTTAGGAGATGGTGACGGATATTTAAAAGAGCTTAGAGGAGATTTTGTAAGGGGACTATAAGTTGGAGTTTTTATTACACCATCTCGTTTATATAATAATTCATATATCATTATACCAAATTGCCATGGATCGATTTTTTCTGTCAACTTAAATAAAAATTAAAAGTTTAGATCTAAAGCAGACAATAAATTTATTGAAAAACTAATATTATGTAAAAATAAATATAATTACTTTAAAATTTTCTCGAATCTCTGGTGGTTTGAATTTCCTCGCCAAATTAATATTAATAATATTTTCTTTTTTCATGTCTTTAATAAGAAAGGAAGTGTTAAAATCTATCAGTTTGAATACAATCTCATCATCATTTTGAGGGTGAACGAGAAAATTTGTTGGTTTAACGTCCAAATGAATTGCATCTAAATTTTAATAAATAAATTAAAGATTAGTATTTAGTATCTGTAAAATGATAAAAGAAAAAATCATCCAGAAATAGGTCCAAAATATTGTTTTTATAAATTATCCACATTAAATTAAAATAATTAGATACGTTCATTAAATTGACTAAGTGCTTTAGCAGCTCCTTTAGCAATTTTGGTTACAAGATCCAATTGATCTCCTCTTTTAGGTTGCTCATTATAAAATTTCAATAAATCAACACCACCAAGTTCCAAAATAATATATTTTTCGCTATATATTTCATTACTTTTATAGCTATAATAATATTCTTCGGTAACAGTATCACTGAAAATTATTTTTGTTTTTATTGTTAAATTAAAAAAATTAATTAGGTAAACAATAATTCTTACTGTGCATGCATGCCAATAATAACGTTTTGCGGAATATCAGCGAAATATTCTAATATTTTCAATTCTCTATCTACACTTAATTTCTCTTCCTCGGTAGTGTACTTTGAGATTTTTAATGCTACACATTTTCCCAAATTTTTTGAAGAAGGAAGCGAAGTTTGTATTTCCAAAGAAGATGTTTCTTCTTCCATATACGCGTGATAAATCTTTTAATTAATAAAAATATTTAACTTAATTTCTTACTTGACTATATGCTCCTTCTCCTATTTGATTTCCAAAGTCAAAGTTTATTTTGAATTCTTTCGCTTTATAATTTATGAGAATTTGTTTTTTTAACTCTTTTCCATGTTCGCAGCTAAAGGTAGGTATGTCAACAACACGGGATTTTTCTGAATATTAATTATTTAATTAAACTAGCTGCAGGGTGAGTAGTTGGGTGGATATCATCACATAATTATTTAATTAAATACGCAAATATTTATATATTTTTTGGTTAAATAAAAATAAATAATTTTAAATAAATAATTAAAAAATCGTGTCTGTACTCCAATTTAATATCTCTGAATTCAAATTTCTCTGAATTCAAATTCTGAACGTCTGAATTCAAATTTGGACTCGTATTTCCAAAATGCTTTAATACTTAATACTAGTGACCGGCACCGGACCGGATCCGGCCGGATTTTTCGGAGTCCGGGTCCCAAATCCGGGTTTTTTCGCGATCTCCGGATTTTTTCCGGACCGGATTAATCCGGAAAAATCCGGCCGGATCCGGTCCGGCATGAGTGAGAAATCCAAAATCCGGTTTCCGGGCCCGGAAAAATGATTTTGCCGGTCACTACTTAATACTATTTATTTTAAGTTAAAAAAATAATTTTAAATATTTTAGCGATTTGTGTTTACTTTTTAATAATTTGCGTTCATGTTCTTCTTCCTCTTTTTTATTCAAAAAATCTCCAATTGATTTATGCTTTTCAACTTTAGTTTTTTCAGTTTTTCCGTTTTTACCAGCCGGTTTAAAACATTTAGTAAAGTTACCAAAAAAACTTTTAAATAGGCCAGCATCTAATTCTTAAATAATTAATTAAACAAAATAATATTTAAACTTAAAAAATTACCTTGAATATTTAACAATCCAAAAATTAATGTTTGAAAAAGTAATAATAGCAATATTTTCATTGCTATTATTTTTAAGTTTCTGTATACAAAATAAAAAATATATTATTGAAAATGTTTAAACAAACTACCCTATATTACCCAAAAAAAATTTTAAATTTATTTAAAAATGTTTTTAGGGTTAAAAACATTTTTTAAATTTTCTAATGCTAAAATAATTATCGGCATATATTAAAAAAGATATATCCAATGATTAATTTTCTATTAGATTTCTTGGACATCTTAACTTAACTATCTGCGTAATTTTTAACAACTTTTTATAAATAATTTTAATTTATTTTTTTACTTTATATAATTAATTTATTATTTATATATTATATTTTTAAAAATTTGAATTTTATTATTATTAATTTTATTTAATTTTAAAAAATTTTTAAGTGGGAGCGCTTAATAAAAATTAAATAGGTGTGTATATAGAGAGAGGGAAATGAAGAGGATATAAATTTTAAATTCAATAAAAAATTTTTCATTGTTTTATTCAATAATCCTCTATAGTATATGGGGGACTCAATTGAAACGTGTAGCAACATTAAAATTGATAGAAAATGTTTTTTTAAGTTAAAACAATTTGATAAATTTAAAAATAAAGTTTATTATTTAAAATGATTTTTCTTTTTATTTAATAAATTAACACTTCTTCAAATTTCTATCAAATTTTAACAGTTTTTACAATTCAAAAGCCTTCCATTCTTCAATCCGATAATGACTGAAGAATTTTTATAAACTTAAAATTAATTAAAATATTTGTTTTCTTAAAAGTTTGTCTAAAGAAAATTTTAAAATAAGAATAAAATAAATAACTTCAAAAACGAAAAAAAAATAATTTTTGTTTCAATTCCAACTTGAAAAACTTGAAAAACAGAATTATAAATGAAATACTTAGTTAAAAGAATTATAGTAAAAGAAATTAAAATATAAGAAAAAGTAAAGAGAAAGAAAAAAATATTAAATTTTGTTTTAAATATTTAAAGAAAAATTTTTATTTTTAAAATAATTGTATTTATTTTTTATTTATTTGTCAGTTGAATTTGGAGGTTTAAGAGATAATTCCAAATTTAAATTATTTTTTTTAGAAGTTGAAGAATAATTATTTTCATTTTCTTTCAAATTATTATTTTTATTTTCATAAATTATTTTTCGAGTTTTCTTTGGCCTTTTTTGATAATATTCTTCTGAAATTTTATCAAAACTTGAAGAATTTTTGTAAATTTTATTTAAATAATTTTCTTCAATTATTGGCTGTTTTCGTTTAGAACATCCTTCTATAGATTTTAAACATTCTTTAAATTTAATAATAAAGTTTAAATAAACAAATTTTAAATTAAAAATTAAAGAAGGTGTTTCTAAAAATTTTGCAAGGATTCTTATAAAGAAGGCAAATATAATAGCGATTTTTTGGTTTAATAATGTTGACATATTTCCAGATTTTTACCCAGATTTTAACTTGATTTTTAACTCAAAGATTATAACCAACAGATTTTTAACACAAAAACTAAACAATTTCTACCTTTATCCTTATTTTGATCATATTTTAATTTTTGTTTTTGTTTACGTTCATTTGGCATTAAATTTAAAGTTTCAGTTTCATTTATTATTTTTTCGTCATTTAAATATTTATTTAACAAATTAGAAATATTTTTCAATACAATTTCTAATTTTATTTCGATTATTTATTATATTAAGACGGTGTAATTCTGAAAAATTAATTAATTTATAAAAATAATTAATTATGTAGATATTATATTTTAGAAATTATTATTTAAATTATATATACCTAAAATCATTTTTGTTTGTTTCTCTATCAACGATTTAGTCCATTCATAATCATTATAATTTTCAAAATTTATATTCTCTAAATTAAATTTATTTAAAACTTTATTTTATTTTTAAATTTATTTTTATAAATTTTTAAAATAAAAACCTCCAAAGTTTTCTAGTTGATTATTTAAATTATAACTAGCGATGGGTTTACCACTGGGGTGCCTATTACAATACTGTGGCGGTAAAATACATCGGGGGGTTCTTTAGGTTACGATACTTCTGCCCGTTGGAAAGCCTAACGGCTTTGGGGGCGCGCTTCGCGCGCCGCTAGCGATTTTTTATGCCTGGAACAAAAGATTGCCTTCATTGGGACTCATCCTTCCACTTAGAGTCACTTCGGGCCTTCGGCCCTCGTCTTCACCTCAATTGGACTTATCCTTCCACTTAGAGTCACTTCGGGCCTTCGGCCCTCGTCTACCCCTCGATTGGACTCATCCTTCCACTTAGAAAATATATTTATTAAGAAATTTTAAAATGAGTTAAATCTGACAGAACGATTTAATAATAATTTAAAGGTTAAAATACATACATATAAACGTAATTTGTGTTTTACTTTTCCAAACAATATCGTAGAGGGATTTTGAATGAATGTATAAACTTAGGTCTACAAAGATTTGTTTAAAAATTTGAAAATATTATTCTACATCTTTTAACTACATAGGCAGAAAGAATTATATTTTTTATTTTTTGAAGATTTTACATGCTTATTGGGAACGTGAAAATGAAGCTGAATGTGTTGCATTAAAAGATATACTATTGTTTGGTGATGAAAAAATAAAGTTTGCACTAAATGAAGTTAATGTCCTTAACGAAGTTATGGAATTATCAGATGAGCAAAGAGATCATATTATAACAATGTATGGAAGGTATGTTGTTTTTTACATAAAAACTTTACAAAATCGCCCACTGTCACCAAATTTTTTTATTTTCTCCGTCAATTAATATTCTTCTATTAAGTGAGGAAAAAACAATAGGAGGTAATAGACATATGTATATAATATTGGAACTTGGTGGAATTGATTTGGAAGTATATTATAATAAAATGCGTAGAAACAAAGATTTAGTACTTTTAAATATCCTTAAATGTGCAGCAAGAGGATTACAACAATTCCATGAAAGTCCGTCTTTTTATTAATATTATTAACATTTTATTTAAAAATAATTTTATTTTTATAGAAAATAATATGAATATAAAATTTTAATTACAGTGCCGGAAAAAAAGATAGAGCCAAGGGCTGTTGAATTAGTTTTTATCGATTATCTCTTTTCGATTAACATTTAGGAAAAAAGTTTCAACACAAAAATTGTTGATCTTTAAATTCTCTTTAAAATGAGTATAAATATGACTATGATTTACCAACAAAATTTTGGCTGAAAATTTTTAAAAAATACTACCCCATTTTTGGGGTGGAAAAAAAGATAGAGCCAAATAATAAAAAATTAAAAATCCCAATTTTCGTTCCGTCAAAAATTTTACAAAAATTCCTGCCAACATTTCCATCAATA